CGTTATTTGCTTTGGCCGGGTTTTTCCGAAAGGCCCTTCGCGGTGGTTGAGTTCATGTCAGGATCACAATAGCTCTCTTTTTTCCGTATTTCCCTACATGTTGACTTGACTGAAACTGCTCAAATATAGCATGATTCCCGCTTATGATGGGCATGTTGATGGTATTTTTTGTGGGGTTCTTGTCAACCATTCCCTCTACATTGAAATTTTCGATCTAGAACTGTCATCCTTACCACCGATCACAGATCAGATCTCACAAGCTTTGCGGAAAATTCGGAACCGGTTCGGCACAGCGAAAGTTGCAACTGGTAGTTGCCTTGAATCTGATTGAGCACTTGAAATCCGAAACTACTCGCTTCGGCGCATGGGTGCCCTGTTCAAGTTGCTCGTAGTGTACTCTGACCCATACCCACATGGTCCCGCAACAGCGTTCCCAACTACCAGTCAACATCCGCGTGCACACTGGTCTTGGTACTTCGAGTCCGCCTTGCGGATTGGACACAATCGAGCACGCGGCTTAATATCCCTAGACTAATTATCTACATACCTTCAGAAAAATTCAACTTAGCCACAGAAAGATTATTTATCTTGAAATGAAATGTGTTGGCTATTGCTTGTACCGTTGTACACGGGCACTTTGAGGGTCGAAAATGGTCAAAATGCATTGGCAGATATGTTGATTTTAGCCAGAAGAAGAAGTATTAACTCATCCCACATAACATGGTCACCGAATCCAATGCATATACCAGGGATGTGACCGCCATTGAACGAAAAAATGGCTGTGCAATATGTTTCTTGTATACATATGCACTCATTATAGCTAGTGGCTCCAAACAGTTGTGAAAATTTCCTGTACCTGTCTGGCATTGCAAAAAAACAAGTGGCCCATACCTCTAGGATGAGCGGGCTCAACCCCAAGCTAAGAATGCCTATTGTCCCAAAATGGCCAGAGATGATGCAGTTGATCCCTAGCTTGGAGCCGAAGACATGCGAGGATCGAAGGCGAGAAACACATTTTTGAAAACGTTGGATGTAAGCTGGGGTTTACAAGTGTGTACAATGTATAGAGGGAACTCGCGGAACTCCAAATCATCACACGCACACACTCTGACACAAAGAGTAAGGCTCTGTGAACTGAAAGGGCTCTGAGACACTTTAACCTATGAGGGCCACATAGTGAAGCTGGGTGTGACACCAGCAGAACGAACACGCCAAGCAAGCTGATGACATAATATTTTCTGTGAACTGATCCTTTTTGGGGCTATATATTTTGCAGTCGGGTCTTGTCTCCTACAGGATTTAGTAATTAAACAAAGATGGATGTATATACATATATACGTATATGTATGTATGTGTCTCCGTATACATTTATACTGATATAGACGCGTATTTACATATATAGACATGTACATATATATATATAGATACATGTACATATATTTATAGGTTTTTATCAGCATATATTTAGACACATACATACGTGCAGGTCTTTTCTGTCTCATACCACTTGTGAATGCCATCGCCACAAGCTCGCTGACAAAGCCTCGTTTTTGCAGGGTGTGATTTGTTTGATCCAACGTTGCCAACATTACAATATAGCATGTATACAATATACAATCGTGCTTTTGTTCCATAAATTTGTTTTGAGTTTTCCAATCGATTCACAATGACATCTGATAACAGTTTAAAACGTGCTCAGAAACTTGAAATTTCTTGAATTCTGTCGGTATGTTTCCAGCATTGTACCCTACCTTTTTTCAGTGGGCATTCTATCAGCCACCCATGTCCTTGCCATCGCCGTAACATTTGTGTCAACTTGTAGGTCACACAACCCCAACTTCACTCGAGAGTTTGAGCGCCATCTTAAAGATGTGCGCGTTTGCTCGTCTGTTGGGAGTGCACATAGTGACACATCACGTATCGCGCTGCTGATGTCTGATCAACATCACAAGTGGCCCCGGCAGCCAGTTGCCATCAGATAGTTTGACGTAACATCGCTCTAGCAATATCCCTGCGGCTACCTGATCAGCTCAAAACGGGGTGACTGTTGAATAGATATGTGAATCAAGGTCTGAATCAACCATGCCTAATTTTTCTCTAAATATTTAAATATATATATATATATTTATGTATTTATATTGGTATTTGTATATACACATAATTTTTCACTTTTTTGTATAGATATCACGTGTATCCGGAAAAACATGATGTTGTGTATGTGCGAAAGTACCACGAAACCAAACCTTTGAAATGGGGCAGCTGGTAACATTACAGGAAATGGCCCTGCTGGGTCCTGTACTAAACACTTTCAGGCGCAGATCAGAATGTCCCATGGTCAAAATATGGTACATTGGGTTTGGTCATCCCAACATCATTGCGGGTTCCATGTAATAGACATGTTAACCCTATTTGGTCACAAAGGGTTAATATCATTTTTTGGTCGAATACAACAAGTCTGGCCATGGCTCAGGAAGTCCGCAATCTTGACCTGTTTTGTAGAGTAGTGGTTCTACGAGATCCAATGATAAAGCCACACCCTCTGATTGACACAGATGAATATATAAAAGGTAAGAGCAAGTTGCTGCATGATGATAATAGATGGTGAAAGACGTTGGAATTCTAGAGAAGAATCCTTAGTAAGGGTGGACCAAGTCATTTTTTAAATAGCAACCATCGGCAGTGCCTACATCAATAGGTGACTCTGGCTGTGTCATGGGGGATGCAGACATTACCAAGTGTTTGCTAAATATAGCACTTGTGCGCCTGTTTGTCATATGTTTCAGCATCCACGGTTTCATCATAGATATGTGTATTCTGTTCCATCTTCAAACCCTCGGGTTTGTCACTTTACCTTTTCTGAGTCCTTGCGAAGACATTAGCAGTTCTATGAATTCCTGCAGCTAACCCTGTGGCTGCAAAAAGGCGCACGTTTTCAATCCGCCGTTGGGGATCCAAGTGGATTCTGATCGACAAAGCATTGAAAATGCTCCCAAAAAGATCAAGCGCTGTGGGACCTTGCCCGTGGGACTTGCTGATTCTCTTCATGGTGGATCAAAAATGCCATCCCCCAAGTCTTGGCCAATATTGAATGGATCGTTTAGTTTTTCTTTTAAACCGGAAGACATATATGTGTATATGATACAAACAAATATAATTACATGACATGTTTTTAGTCTTTATGCTAACGAAGCAGCTTCAAAAAGCTTGGTGTTACAGCTGGGGCATGTAGCTCATGTCCAGATAACAACAATAAAGCAAAAGCATGAGAAGGGCCGGCAAGATTCCCAAAAATGTTACAGCACTTTTGGATCCGAGCACAGACCGGATGCATGGACAAAATTTGTTTTAGTTTCTCTCGGGGGAGCACATATGTTTGGTGACGATGAATTCCGTTCCATGGTCACATGGAGGGATTTCCAGGCGCAACAAGCACCGGTCTTCCCGCGCCAGGAAGGCATCCTTGCCACTGGCTGCCAAGTGTGCCTCTCAGTGGCCGAGGTGTTGAATGGCAATGTGTGCATTATATCCCCCATATGGTCCCAAAGAATGTAAAAATACGATATTAAAATGTAGTTTCTGGGTGGTATTAAAGATGAAGGGGATAGTGTTTTCTGGCTAGTAGTGTCAATTTAGCAGTTTCCAATATGTGGGGTTCTACTGGTTGGTTTTATGGGTGGTTATATCTGGAATATTAAGCTATCAGTAGAACAAATCCGCAATAGGTTTTCCACTGTGCTCAAACAGATTTTGATAAAAGTTTCCCCTACTTGAGATCATCCCAAAGCACAGCAGGCTTCATATTTTCAGGTAACCACCAGCCAGGTATTTTTCTTGCTCGGGTTTGCAATGGGCTCACAATTTGGGCACGCAATGGCCCACCGCGAAAAATAATGAGGTTGCCTGCATGAGCATACAACACTACATCAATGTGGCAACGTAGGGGAACTTTAGTGCTATCTAGCACTGTCATTTCAAATTTGCAGTGGTTCCAAGCCTTTCATGTTTGTTTGTGATATATATATATAGACATTCCTTCCGAGTCAGAATTACCTTCCCCGATCCTCGTGGTATCAAGGAAACCTAACTTCAAGACAATTGTGCAACATGACCCACGGAAATCGAGCAGCATATGAGTTGCTGGAGGCAGACACGGCCACGTTGCAGAATATGATAGCCGTGAGTATGATTCTCAAAAATTATTTGCTACAAAACGAAAAACATTTGCAGAACATCAGCCCACATCTACCACAAAGCTCGTCTGGCATCGATGTTTTTCACCAAGGATCGATATTGTGTCAAATTTCAACGGTGACCACGACATATTTTTGTGAAGTCTTGGCTGACAAGTCGGTTTGTTTGAACATGGGAAATGATACACCATGGTCTTTGTGGGTGCTTTATTTTCAGACACAGCGCTCAGATTTCTGGTACTTTTGAAACATAGGCTTCCGAGACACCCACACTAAGCAACACCTGCCTCGGCGGGGCTGTCCTGCGTGACTGTCTTGCGTGATGGAGCCACCCACTAAGAAGGTCTGCAATATCCGGGGGTGACGCGTTGGTGATTCGCTGTCACCCAACATGGATGATGATTCGCTGGCATAAATTGGATGGTTCACCACCAGCAATGGCCAAAATCCCATGCCCAAAGTGGTTGTTTCCAAAAATTAATGAACCTGGATCTTCAAAAAAGCAGAATATTCTGCCCGTTTGCGGTTTTTGGTCGTTTCAACAAAACATGCCCGCTTGATTTGTTTTGTTTGACAACTGCCCGCTTCCCACCAAAAGAGCCCGGTCCATTGTCAGCGGGTCAGGCTTTGTCACCCCAAATTCCAAGTCAAGATCCGCAATGGAAAACGTTTGCAGAAGGACTGCGCAACACAAATTCCAATCTGTAGGGAATAGAGCATGCATGAGCACTTTTCCTGATTTGCGCCCGTTTTGCTGTCAAAACTGCCCAATGTTTTTTTTGATTATCCTTATTTATTTGCGTAGAATGTGAAAACCAAGACTCCACTCAACATCTGGCTGGCAACTTGTTCAACACAAGGAGACCCAATTTCAATCTCCATCAGGATTATCATCCGTTTAGACAAAAAACATGTTTCGAAGAGAGTTGCCAGCTAATTTGACCAGAATCAATAAATTTGGCAAAGCAGGCTATTTGGACAGTTTCTTCTGAGATCTGCCTGTTTGACAAAAAAGTGTATCAAATTTCCAAAAAAGCAAAAAATAGTGCCCGTTTGAAGATCCAGGAGTGTTGGTATATGATGTGGATATCGCGGGTTCTGTCTGTCGGGCAAAACTATATGCATGGCTGCATGGGTGCATTGTTTACCCAGCCTATTCGGAACGATCAATCCGATTGACCAATAGACAGTGAATTTTGGTTTATTGCTGGGGCAAATTTTGGGCTAGGAATTCAAAACTAGATCCATCAATGTAAAAGCAACGCGTGTGTGCTTTTGCATTGCACATTAGACTCAAGGAATCTTTAAAACATAAAGGTGCTGGGAAGTATGATACTCGAGGACCAAAAATAATCAAAATATTTGTTGCAACGATCCTTGGTGGTTTCGAAAGGGAGAGAAGGGCCACAAACTCAGCACCACCAAATACGGGCGTCAAACATGGTTGCCTTACCATGCAGAAACCTGGAAGATGTAGTTGTTTATTCCAGTAGTAAAGACTTAAAATCACAATTTTCATGGCGGACAGTGGGTAGATGCTGGTATACGAGTATCAAACTGGATTTTAAATCAAACATCGTTGTCCAACATTAACCAAACAATTTTACAATGAAGCTGTGGAGGTGTCTTTTGACCTTGTTGCAGGCGCGCACGGACGAGGGTGAGCCCCTAGAGGTGGCAGAGGCGCGGTCCTGGCAATCAAACATGGCATGCTGAACCAATTGAAGGTTTGTAGCTATAGGAACATCAGCGAATTAAACCGGGGATTTCCCAGCCAGCCACGTTTGATTAGCGGAGGGTACAATAAACATCAATAAACCCATGTTTTTTTTGTCAAATAATTGAAGCCAGTCTTGGAATTGGCATTCCTGGGAGCCTCAATGCACGGACATGTATGCAAAGCGTGCCGAACTTTGTCGCTGTTCTTGTCCATTGGCAAGTCTCACCGTTGCTGTGGGTTACTGACTCCTGAAAAATGTTGACGGTTGCGAATGTTTGAAATGGCACGTTTTGTGAGTCTCCTGATGATATACAACGGCGACAATACAAAACTGGATCAATGCGGTATGCTTAAGATTGCGAGACCCATAACAAACTGCATCAGTTCATCGTATAACATGCTGTTTCAAGATTCGTTTGATACAATGATGTGTGATGAAATGTGACTTTTGTTTCAGGATATGTTTCTGATTTTATCGCGCTTGGACTCCATGTGCGGCGCGTGGACCCCACAAGTGGTCCGCAGCTGGGTTCCAGGGTCATGCGGGTTCCAGTGAACGGAGGGTACCATGCGATGACAAGTTTGATGGGGAAAAGCAATCCATTAACCCCATGCAAACCGGCTGTCTAGAATTCAAGATATTTGAGGATCATTGCAGCTAGCACCTTTGAAACAAATGTTTGATAAGTCTTCATAGTGCGACAACCCCTTTTTTACACCAAGTCAACAATTCTATGGTTACTATAACATCTATAACCCAGTTGCAAATCGTGGGATGTATTTTTATGTGATATACGTTTTAAAAACACATTAAATATACAAGGTAGTTCGTGCACCTAGACCCTCCAAATCCTTTATGATATTTTTGATAATTTGGGAAGGGTTCCAAAAAAAATGCTGAAAAAAAACTTGTTGCTAGGTGCATAGTTTTCCCATCCCAATCTCGGGTCCAGGGAGCCCAGCCTGCTGCGGTTGGATTGATCAGCACCGAACCGGTCTTGGAGCCCGAGGAGATTTTAGGGTGTACCTGGATATGTTGGGGTATGTTGGGTATAAAAAAGATGCCAGCCATGTATATATTCACATATATAAATAAATATCTATACACTATACATATATATATATATGTGTGTGTTTTTTTATTTTATAAAGAAAATATGACCATACTTGACCATGGTGGCCCAAACATGGGAATATTATGGGGCTTAATGGATGCCATGTAGTCATCCATGTGATGATGGGTTTGTCCAAAAATACGGTATCCCCCGAATGGCCACTTCAATTGGAAAAAATGAAAAATGGTGATAAATTATCAAGTTTGAAACGCCATATGTTCAGACAGACATGCCCAGAATTGATTGAATTTATTGGTGAAATATGGGAAATAATAGCACAGATACCTAGTGAGACAATTTCATAGAAGCAACTATCGAATTGATGCTGTCAGAACATGTGGTATACCTCTGTGTTTTTGCCAGCGAAAACAATGATAAAGCGCCGGAGCGCTGGGGGTGCCCTATGGTTGGCCAAATTCAGCAGGGACCCAGCTGCCAGCTGGACCAAAAATGAATATAAATCGCCTGGTTTTCCAAAACCCGCTTAACCCCTGATATGGCTCAACAAAATCTGACCCGGCCATTGACTGGCTGGTGCTTATGTGCCAAATTAGTTGTGAAGCCAAGTTCGACAAGTACCCAAGTTGTACTTGAGGGGAACTCTAGATGCGAGACATGGCAAGCAAAATGAGCTTCAATGAGCCTCTCACGCGTGCATGTGTTTTCCTATTGGATTGGTCCCCTTGCACGGTGTTTGAGTCGTTGCGGCGAGCATCCACAGGTCCAGACAGACATCACGTCAACCTGTCTTGGCCAAGTATGACTTAGTCTAATGATCTTTGCAAGGAGTGTATATGACCATGACGGTTGTTCAAATTCGAGCTCTCCGTCGTTTTCGTACTTTGCCAAAGATGCTTGGGGCGAAAGAAATTGATAAAATTCAATCGTTATCATCATATATAATATGTTTGGTTCTGGTGACTCCAAGTGGCAAAAGCATGCTGCTTTACGTGCTTATTCCACTTTTCTGCTGTACAGATTAAGGATCATTTGTTTTTCCAGCGATTAGTTTGATGATAATCAGCATAGCGTCAGCCTTCTTAGGCTGAGCTTTTGTTTGGTTATTAGGTTCGGTTGATGTTCTTATTGAAGGATTCTAAGGATTTTGCACGCATGGGTACACACACACATGTCATGTTTAGGAGGGAACGGTTCAGAGCTAGAGGGGATTAGAGGGGTATCCCCTCATATCTCTGATGGAATGGGAAGCGGAGGAGCCACTTGAAGTTTCCCAACCAAATGCTGGTTTGTAATTACATACACCGATCTGATTTACCCATACTTATGTGAGCCATTAGATTAGAAATACATGTATCACATCAACATTTGTCAGTTGCGCGCATTCCATAATTGCTGTTCAAACCTCAAAATCATCAAAAACATTCCTTATAATTTATGGTTTCTTTCTGGATCATGTGGCGAATGTTATCTCCTTTTACCAGGAGCTCGAGTTCGATGACACGAGCACCGGGCCCAAGGCCGCAGCCGTTGCCATATGTGGGTGTGTATGAAAATGGGATGTACTTCTAAATTGCTATTGGCTATTTGAATAGGGAACATGAATGAACATGATTACAATCCAATGGATTTGGGGAAACATTAGTTTCAGACAAACCCACTGTTTTAAATCATATACTGTATTTGCATATATATATATGTGCGTACATTGTTTATGTATGAATTCACTGAGACGTTAATGTACTTAAATACTTGCATTTCCAGATATGCATTTGACAGACAGATGCATACACTTAAGACTTTTGTAAGAACTGCTCATCCTTTTGGTTCCACACGACCGACTGCTCCAAATTCAATGGACTGTCGCTTCAACATGTTCAGCATCCCAATGTGGCCATGTGTTTACTGCTACTACTCAAGGCTGATAAATCTCGAAATTGCATGCCTTACGGTTGAATATCAGATATGATGATGATCTTGTGAAATGCCCATATCTGCGGGGTAAGTCTTCCATGTTTGGATTAGTTGATGACCAGATAAGCCATGCTTTGTTCCGGCTTGAAGCTTGGTTGCCACGTTCCGCCACTAGGTGAAGGACAAAGCAACCTTCTATGTGGAAGACACCACCATGAATGTTGCTTGAACACCATCAACCATGGTGATTTACCCGCCAAATTTTGATTCATTTGGTGGGATGAACATCCATTTACAAGCTCTTTTGATGTTACCCAGGGCACAGGGTTCTGACCCACACCCATATCCATTCAACAGTCGCGGGATACCCCAAACTTGCTTTTTAAATGTGAAAAAAAAACTAATTTTCTTTTCTTTGCGGGAAGTACCCTATTTACTAACAAACCATATTCAGTATTTGCGGGCTATGGTCTTGAACTGGGCCATACACATTGTAAAAATCTATCTGCATATGTATATTGCTTCCCCAAAGAAGTGCCCCAACACCCAACACCTGCCTCAGTGTCCCAAATCTGCCGACACCCTGTACTCAGTTTTGTATGTCTGACAGATATATGCCACGATCAAAAGTTGGATTCTATATCCAAATTAATCAATCCTTCAGGGGTATTATATATATATATATATATGTGCCCATCCTGTTCGGATTCCCACTACGCAACGGATGACCATGAACCATGTTTTGACCCTGGCACATAGATGTAACCATATGTAGTAGTCTAATACCATGTGTAAGATGTTCATGTGTTTATTTCTACTAGGATCCGCATCGTTTGTATATATCTTGCACACATATAATTATATATATATATATATACACATATATTAATATATATATATATATATACAGTAACGACATTTAAATATGCTGTGGGCGGGCCAGACAAGAAGGCCCCGGAGGTAGTATGAAACACCAGTTCCATCAGTATATTTAAATGTATGTTTAAATCCATTGGATTCCGTATGTTTTAATGGCCGGGCGGGCCAAGGAAAACTTCCCGGAGGTAGTCTAAAATACCAGCTCGTATATTTAAAATTCTGTATATTTAGGTGAGCTACCCCATATATATATATATATATGTATACATATATATATATATCTACATATATATATATACATGTGTATATATATATACATATATATATACATATATATATATACATACATATACATATATATATATGTGTGTGTGTGTTTGATGGTCTTAACCAAGTTGGCATGGCGATAGACCAAACTCCGGCGGTCTTCTGAAGCCTTAGGTTCTCAGTTCGAAGTACAACACCTTGATGCCCCTCACAGACGGAGGCCTCCAATACCTCTTAGTGCCTTGGGATGAACCGGCACAGTAAAATCGATTAAGGAAATGGAGAATACCCTGTTGATAGACATTAGACTACAACAGTATGTTCCTTTTGAAACAAACACCTTCAGAAAACTCACATTATTTTTTCTAAAAGGTGCTTTGTTTCGCATTTTGTTCACTTACCATCCTGGGACGGTCATCCGGACATTCGGTCCCCCGGGGCTTTTTGACCACCAATACTGCCGCATACAGGGAAAGAAGTAGTGTGATATAGTAGAACTACACGTATCCAAAGCTGTCTTCGATTTAAACAGCGGTTGTTTTCCTTATATTAAAAGTCTGGTGGATTGAAACCACAAAAACTAGAACAATTACTTCCTTCGAGTGATCACCACCCTACTGAGGCATTATTCTGACATAGTTTCTGATATACCATCTGGAAGCATATATTGGATATATATATATACACATTTTTTCTGACATTCTATCTGACATCTTTCTGGCATTCTGTCTGACATTCTCTCTGGCATCTGGCTGAGGTCTGGTCTGGCAGTGACCACTGAGCTCTAGGTTGAAGTCTGGCAGTGAGCTCGCGGTTGAGGTCCGGCACTGCTCACTGAGATCTGGAGCTCGCGGTTGATGTCCGGCAGTGCCCACTGAGATCTGGAGCTCGCGGTTGAGGTCCGGCAGTGCCCACTGAGATCTGGAGCTCGCGGTTGAGGTCCGACAGTGCCCACTGAGATCTGGAGCTCGTGGTTGAGGAGGCGGAGGTGGATGTAGAGGCGGAAGGCGGCAGGACGCACCTTTGATAAAATCTAAAGACCTTCATCTGGCAGGTGGGGAGCAGCAATAGCAGCAACAACAACAACTACTACTACTGCTACTACTACTACTGCTACTACTACTGCTACTACTACTACTACTACTACTACTACTACTACTACGGCTGCTACTACTACTACTACTACTACGGCTACTACTACTACTACGGCTACTACTACTACTACTACTACGACGACGACGACGACTACTACGACTACGACTACGACTACTACCACTACAACTACTACTACGACGACGACGACCACCACCACTACGACTACGACTACGACTACGACTACCACGACTACGACTACGACTACGAGTACGACTACGACTACGACTACTACTACTACTACTACCACTACTACTACTGCTGCTGCTGCTGCTGCTGCTGCTGCTGCTGCTTCTGCTTCTGCTTCTGCTGCTTCTGCTTCTGCTTCTGCTCCTGCTTCTGCTCCTGCTTCTGCTTGTGCTGCTACTACAACTGCAACTACAACTACTACTACAACTACAGCAGCAGCAGCAGCAGGAGGAACTAAAACAACAATAACAACAAGAAAAAACAAGAAGAACAAGAACAACAAGAACCACAAGGACGACTGCCGCAACAACACCATCACCATCACCATCACCATCAACAACAACAACAACAACCACAGCCACAGCCACAGCCACAGCCACAGCCACAGCCACAGCCACAGCCACAGCCACAGCGACAGCGACAGCGACAGCGACAGCGACAGCGACAATGACAATGACAATGACAACGACAACGACAACGACAACGACAACGACAACAATGACAACGACAACGACAACGACAACGACAACAACAACCCGAACAGCAACATCAACACCAAACAACAATATTGCTGTATTTGGTTACAACAGTTGACACGGTTACATGTCAATAACGACCACAATTCCTTTCCGCTGTTTGCTGTCATGCCCCTTTCTCACTCACAGCACCTCTGTTTGCTGATCTCATCCAGGTTGATTTTGGCAGCAGGCCGTTTCTGTAAATCTAATTGTTATATATATACATGTATATTATGTTACGTCCATATAAGTCAACGGTAGATAGATAGATATATGGTCGGTGCCAGAATTATAGAACGGAAGTTGAGGAGTACGAAGGTACGGTTATTTACCGTACCCTGTTGTTCCATAATTCTGTTTTCCTCGGAAGGTGTGAAAAAATATCTGAACTTACTCCTATTTTTTTCGTCGTTCTGTAAATCTTGTTTGTTCTATAATTGTGTTTTCCCCTTTTTCCCACATTTACCAGTTTCGTTCTATAATTTATTTTGGGCAAACCGTTCTATAATTCTGGTATCTGTGTCACTTTTTTCTGGTGTCCCAGAAAGATACATAAAATGATGCAAATTTATGTAAATAACCTCTTCCGGGGTCCCAGAAAGATACATAAAATGATGCAAGTATATCAGTAACCTCCAAGGTCCCAGAAATTATAGAACGGAACAAATACTTATAGAACAGAAAGATTAATTATAGAACAGGATCCGAATTCGCGCGGAATTGGGTTCCGGAGGAGTACGAAGGTACGGTATTTTACCGTACTTTTGTATTTCTAATTTCGTTCTCTAATTTTGGCACCACCTGTGTATATATATATTGGTTGATTGTTTTTTACATATTAATATTACTTCCAGATAGTGTCGGCCCGCGCCGGGACGGAAGTTTCGAAAATATAGTGTGGCTATAGGAAATCAATGGCCTATAGGAAAGTTTTTGGGATGCAGAAGCAATGAAGTATTGAAGCTGTGAGGTGCATAAACGAATGAGCAAAAATGGCTGTTGAGATGCCAATGAAATGAGCCGATGAACCAATGGACTACGCAATGAGTCGATTGATCAGTGAGTCAATGAATCATTGAAGCAATGAAGCAATGATTCAACGAACCAAAGGAACAGTGAACCAATGAATCGATGAATGAATGAACCAATGAATCAGTGTATGAATGAATCAATGAGTCAACGAACCTGTGAATCAGTTAATAAACGAATCAATGAACCGATTTGGTGAGTTGATGAATCAATGAATCAATGAATCAGTGACGCAATGAACCAAGAAATCAATGAACCAATGAATTGTGAATCAGTGAGTCCATGGATCCATGCATTATTGAACCAGTAAACCGTCGAACGAAGGGATGGATGGATGGATGGATGGATGGATGGATGGATGAATGAATGAATGAATGAATGAAATGGATGGATGGATGGATGGATGGATGGATGGGCGGTCTACTTTTCTTTGTTGAACTACTTCTTCACTGAGCGACCTCTTCGCTGAGGCACCTCTTCTCTCAGTTTCTTCTTCTCTGAGCAGCCACTTGTTTGTGCTACTTGTGCTCTGAGCTGCCTCCCAGCTAGCTTGTGTGTAGCTTCTGCAACTCAATTCTTCTCTCAGTGCGGCTGTTACGTTGCGTTTAGCAGCCTCCAGCTGGAATCTCCGCATAGCACAAGAGTATAGCACTATGTGGTCAAAAGCTACCTTTCGCGCAGCTGTTACAATGCGTTTAGCAACCTCCAGCTGCAATCCGGCTTGCCAGGAGCGTCGCAGCATCACTCATGCTTTGCTGCGCGCGCTTGGCCACTGCGCTTTGTTGCAGCCGGGTTCCCAACCTAGCAGGAGCCACGCACCAAATCGACCACCATTCGCGTACCATCAACAGTGCAAACTTGGGGCTGCTCCGAACATCCCATTTTTTTTGCGATTTTTATTTGGAATCGAGCTCTCGCTGCAGTCTCGTGTGCATTTTGCCGACCTCATCTTCCAAAAGTGCTCCGAATGTGACAGCTTTTATCTTTTTAAGTGCAAATCGATCTCTTGCCAGTGTCCGGCGCACTTTTTGCAGACCTCATCTTCCAAAAGTGCTCCGCCCCCTCCTTTTTGTTAACATTTTGACATGCAAATCGATCTCTCGCTACAGTGCGCGTTTGTTTCGATAATTTTCACAGATCGAACCCAAAAACCACGGAAACAGAGACCCTATTCAGCAACCACGGAAGCCGTTTTACCTGAAAAAATACAGGGTTTCGCGCCCGAGAGGGTTGCACCCGTGAGTTCACACGCGGCCGAAGTGTTACACTTCCCAACTGCTTGATTATGGGTGGTTGACATGATGATGGGGTTGACATGATAGTGCATGGTAATGCTAACCATATCAATCATCCGTAGCTCGGAAGTTTTTTAACAAAATTTCCTATGAATAGATGGTAAATAAAAAATCATATTAGTCATATTATTTATTTAATTTTGTATATATATATATGTATATATATACACACATTTTTTAAATTTCAGATTTAACTTGTTGAATATAGCTATACAAGTTCATATGTTATCCAGTTGTTTGATGTTCACCCCTCCCACCTTTTTTTGAAAATCATTGCGCAGACCAAGGCAGGAGCGCGCGCCAATCTTGGTGTGAAGACAGGCCGGTCTTGGTGGGGTACCACCGGAAAAAGTGGCGATAAACTGCTGGATTTCCTTGATATCCTATATCCTGTGTTAAAACAAAATTAAATCGTTTCAGAAGTGGATTGTTTGGATCAACCGATTGGATGGATAGTTAGTTCGAGTATTTTAGTACTTCAACATGTTGTACCATTTTCTATAGAAAGAAGTATTGATTGGTCGTTGAGCAGAGAAATGGGGAGTATCCAGGACTGGCCATGGGTTTCAACAATCATGCGCCAAAATCATTGACTAGGTAAGGAACAACGCTCCTATCTTTCAATGGAACCTCATACAAGGGGAATTATACATGGTGGTTTGGAGTTCTCAGTTTGCCCCGTATGAAGGAGTCCTTGAACAGTCACTGATTAAGTGATGGATCCTTTAAAGTTGCAAATGCATGTGAAACTCTTAAGTTGTATTTGGTTATAGG